CTCAGGTAATGATGATAATTTTTACGTATTCCATTCGGCATTGATGATGATCGATCCATCCTGGATCGCCCTGGCATACCTAGTGCCAATTGTAAGATTAATGAAGTTTAAAACAAATTTTTTTGGATTAGGTGTTATTAACAGTAGCAAGGTTTAACAACTGTATGTTTCTAACGTGCGATTTTACCTTTTCCCAGTGCGGACACCACCGGATTGAACGTTATTCCATGCATTCGGTCCCGATCAGGTAATCATTAATTTTTTTCTGTATTGCATTTAATTATACATTGCGTTTGGTTTTGCGTTGCGTTGTGTTTTGCGTTGCGTTGTGTTTCGATTTCCGTTTCTGTTTGATATGAAGCGAGGTTTCTTAAAATACTACAAATCTACAACGTGACTTTCATGCATAATTCTTTCTGTATCGCATTCTCGGGACTTTATAAATCGTGTTTGGTTTTGCGTTGCGTTGCGTTTGGATTTATAATTCTATAATTAACAGGGGAGCTATCGTTTGGTTTAGAAACGAGCGTGGTATACAACTGAAGTTTCAATTTAGTATGGGTAGATTTAAGCAAAAAGCGAGCCTATATACATCGATGAAGCGAGCTTTCTTAAGATACATCAAATCCGTTGATGGTTTTTAAAATCTTTTAAGTTTAGTGTAATATATAAGTTACTTTTGTGTTCGAATTTTGATTATATGTTCGGCTAATTATTTGGTCTTTATCTCGCTGCCAAGGCTGACGTGCGGTGCTACGGACAAGTCAGTTTGCACCCATAGGTCTTGCAGTAATGATAATACCATCTATCTATATATTGTTCAAGAATGAAATGGTCACGCAAGCATGGAGTATGATTTCGTGAGTTTACTTCGTGATTAGTGTAACTCCGTTTCAACATTCCTTGCTTAGTTTTGTGATATTTCCTTCACCCGAAAAGCCTCTAAAACTCTAAACCCTAACCCTAACCCTAACCCTAACCCTGGAATTCAAGCTAATTTTAAAAAAGTCCATAACCTTTCGTAAAATTAGTAACATTGGTTCATAACCTTACATGCGCAAACAGGTCTGGCAGACAGGTATGCGTGCATGCTAAAATGGTGTGCTGGAAATAAAGGACTTTTTCCAAATATATAACCCTTCCTTCAAAATTACTAACCTGGGTTAAAAATCATAACCCTAGCATTTTAACTAACCTAAAAACTAAATCTTGCCAAGATCCATAACCTTTTCGTAAAGCTAATAACCCTTCAGTGGCATACAGGCGTGCTAAAAATGCATATGGCGTGCCGACAAATTAAGGGCTTTTCCCAAATAAATAACCTTTCCTTAACAATTACTAACCCTACATGCGTTTAATATCATAACACTCAAATAAAATTGGTATGTAACAAGAAACAAACTTACAATATATCGAGCCTGATTATTCTCAGTTTTGCATGAATACGTGTTTCGTTGATTTCCAGGCAGGCGTATGGTTCACCTGAAAAAAAAAGCACTCTTGTAAGACACAAAATTAAAAAACCTCCGCTATAATTTACTCAAATTCAGAGCGCGCTAACAAATGGAAATTCTGATAAGACACGGAATAGATTATCACTGGATGGAGGTATATAAAAACGATATAAATATAGTCCGTATAAAGTCCGTATAAATACAATAAGTATACCTGGCTCATGATGATAATAATGATGATCCTTGAAGATGCTTCTTTCATGACTTTCAAGTGAAAATGAAAGATAATCGACAAACCATTTACGTATACAACACAGATAGGCACGCCTTCTTTCTTCTTGGAGTTACTAATGGACATCGCCTCCTAAATTCAGGAAACGCGGCACTTTGAGATTAGCGCAATGCCGCACTAATGAATTAGCTAATTGGACATGGTGAGAGATAAGGCACAGGAACTGGCGTTCCTCAGACAAAGAGGTGACTTTTTCTTCCTGGCGGAAAGACACAATAGAAGCACTTGTTAATGACAGCAGTTCCCCATTCAAAAGCGAGAAGTGATTGACAAATATTAAACGTATTAAACCATATGAGCTTAACAACATTCAATTACAAAAAATACTCAAAATTGATTATCTGTCAGATTTACCTCAAAAATACATAATTAATATACATAGATTAAAAAGCCTCATGCATAAGGTTTCTAGTAGGTCTCTAGATCGGTTTATGATTGCAAATATAATAGCCAGATTTACATGTGCCAGCATGCAATGCAATGGGCGTGTCTGCTCGAAATGAGTGACCTCTGGCTGGGGGGCTTGGGGCTCTGGGTGCAAAGGTTAAATTCTTCTGTTACATTGCTGGGCTGAGATGATATCATATCTCAGTGAACATTCTGTGTGCGCATGCAGGATGGATACTCTATGCAACAACTAAGCACATGCAATGATTCAATGGGCTTTGTTAATTATGGCAGAGCTCTGCTCGAATGAGTGACCTCTGGCTGGGGGGCTTGGGGCTCTGGGTGCAAAGGTTAAATTCTTCTGTTACATTGCTGGGCTGAGATGATATCATATCTCAGTGAACATTCTGTGTGCGCATGCAGGATGGATACTCTATGCAACAACTAAGCACATGCAATGATTCAATGGGCTTTGTTAATTATGGCAGAGCTCTGCTCGAATGAGTGACCTCTGGCTGGGGGGCTTGGGCTCTGGGTGCAAAGGTTAAATTCTTCTGTTACATTGCTGGGCTGAGATGATATCATATCTCAGTGAACATTCTGTGTGCGCATGCAGGATGGATACTCTATGCAACAACTAAGCACATGCAATGATTCAATGGGCTTTGTTAATTATGGCAGAGCTCTGCTCGAATGAGTGACCTCTGGCTGGGGGGCTTGGGGCTCTGGGTGCAAAGGTTAAATTCTTCTGTTACATTGCTGGGCTGAGATGATATCATATCTCAGTGAACATTCTGTGTGCGCATGCAGGATGGATATTCTATGCAACAACTAAGCACATGCAATGATTCAATGGGCTTGTTAATTATGGCAGAGCTCTGCTCGAATGAGTGACCTCTGGCTGGGGGCTTGGGGCTGGGTGCAAAGGTTAAATTCTTCTGTTACATTGCTGGGCTGAGATGATATCATATCTCAGTGAACATTCTGTGTGCGCATGCAGGATGGATATTCTATGCAACAACTAAGCACATGCAATGATTCAATGGGCTTGTTAATTATGGCAGAGCTCTGCTCGAATGAGTGACCTCTGGCTGGGGGCCTGGGTGCAAAGGTTAAATTCTTCTGTTACATTGCTGGGCTGAGATGATATCATATCTCAGTGAACATTGAGATCTGAAAGCTAGAATTCGTGATAACAAAGAGGTCCGAATCATGAATGAATTGACGTACCGTAGTGTAGATTTGCCCACGATCATCATTTCATTATTTCCGAGGGTAGAAAACGTGCCATTTATGATCAATTCGTAAAATTTAGAGAGGATTTTCCAAAGCATTTAATACCCATGCATGCTTGTTGTTTGTTTCAATTCCGGAATTCAATTCCCCCCCCCCCGATCGCCGAAACATATTTAAATGTTGTGCATATGTAAATTATGTATTGTACAAAATAAACAATGGGAAAAATACATTCAGATATTTTCGACGCTAGGTAAAATGGAATCCGTGGATTTACTAATTTACTATCCAATACCAAGCATGCTTACGATGCGATACAGGGTGTGGATTAAGTAATTCTTTCGTTGCATCGCGTTGAAGCAACAATGAAGCGATTATCAACAGCGTGTTCAGAATGTGATAGATCAGTAGCGAAGCAATTCCATTGGTCTTCCTACTTCCGCAGCTCAGCTGTGGAAGTAGAAAGACCAATCAGGAGATGACTTTCGGAAATGGGATAACTCCAGTTACAAGGAGCAATTCACAATGCAATATTCATTGACGACGTCTTTGCTTCGACGACTGTGTTCGTTGAAATTTCGACATTTTCGTTTTTGTCGCTCGTTGAGCTCATCAGTCCAACAACGGCCGTAGTAGATCTATAAAGGAATCGAGATCAAGCGACATCAATTGCATAAATGTTGATATAAATGTTGTCAGGAATCTAAGCAATACATCGTCGCACTGTTGCGTAGCCCGAAAACCTCCGCATGAATCTGCTGAACCCCCCCTGGTTATATATATTATTTATTATTTAGACTAATAAAATGAATGAAAAACCGGCCGTGTTGTTCTCGATTTATACATCACATTATCGCAATCCCGTGTCTCTAGAGATACAGTTGATTTATTTTAGCACAAGTTGAGAGCGTGCATAAATAATTTTGGCACAAATAAAACATCATTTCTATTTTCGTATCTTCTCTGTTAAATGACGTAATTACGGTAAATTCCCCGGTAAAAATAGACCGAGCCATTACGTCATTACGCGAGTATAAATGCAGCGAGCGACGAGCGTTCGAATATACTTTACAGGCGAAGCGCAAAAAGGGATGAACAAGTGCAAGGGTTACGTGGAGAATATTTTCAAATCGATAAAGAGGCAGATCAACAACTTGGACCCGGAGGAAGACGGAGAGACGCTGCAAGCGGTTGTCGACGCGTGCCAGACATTTTACGTGTCACTTTTCGCGAGGGGAAAAGGTGCGAGCGAGAAAACGAGCGTTGAAAAATAGCGCGCTCGGTCGATTGCTAAATTTTCCGTTCTACTTTGTGTCTTTCAGGCCTGTTCGGTCAGAGGCAGATGGACAAAGAGTTGGCGAGAAACGCCCCGAAAATTCCAACAGTTTCGTCGACGGAGGGATCCGGTGAAACGTCTCATCGACCTGACGACGATCCTCCAAAGAGCAAGAAAGGCCTTGGCAAGGGTTCTCCGGGCGTGTTTAGGGCGAGAAACGTGACGAAACGGCAGGAGAGAACGCGCACCAGCGACGCGTTCCTCGGCCGTAAGCGAAAATCAGCCGGCTCAAGCACCACAGGTGTAGCAGAGGGAACGAAACGAGCATTGCTCCCGAAGTCGGCGGAGACACCACCATGACAGCACCAGCAATTCCACCAGCACCGATGACACCACCGCAAACGGCACCCCGGCCACCTAAAAAAGCGCGTCTCGAGCAGCCGGAGAAAAGAAAACCTCTCTGCGCCCAGGTTGCGAAAGCCAACACGGGAGCAAAGCGAGTGCAAATGATGCAAAAGCTCGCGGCGGCCGGCGAGAAAGACGAGCCCCCAAATCATGTAGAATTAGAACTATTTTGGGGGGCCATGAACGACTGGAAGATTCTCGACGCTGGCTTGGTGGCGGCGTTGCAATCCACGTGGGAGGAGATGAATTCCGAGAAAAGCAGAACGCCGGTGCAAAAAATTCTCACGCTAACGGCAATCCCGAACGGCGTGAGCAATTGCATTCAACACTGCATTGGCAACCTGGTGCGAGAATTTGTTCGGCAAACCAAGTCGGACGGTCGAAAGGTCAACTATACGGCCGGCTGCGACGCGATGGAAGACGAGATAAGGGCCGAGCACTACCGAAGATATCTCGCAATGGTGAAGGATTGTGCGTGCGAATCGTGCGAATCGGTCATCGAGTTCGACGAGGCCTACACTAGGTAGGAGGAGATCGGGCCCCTGGCCTTACTTTAATACTAGCACAGCAGGTAATAACGTCTCACCATCGATCAATACGTTTGTTTCTTTGCAGATACCACGACAATTTGGAAATGACCACGGCGCAAATGGAAACCGAACCGGTTCGCTTCGCAGACAGACCGATGCACTGCGACGACGTCGATTTCCGTGCCCAAAGTCTGCGAACTCAGTTTACCGGCCTGAGTTCCACGAGTCTGCTCAAGGCGCTATACTTCTCGAATTCGACGCCCGCGTTTAGCCCTCCCACGCTATCGTTGGCGATGCCCACAGATGTGCAAAGCATGACGACGAGATACTTACAGCCATTCCTGAGAGAGAGAAAGTTGCAGGATCCACTGCCCCAGTCGTGGAAAACCGTGAGCCCGACACCGGCGGAACACGAATTGGTCAGCGTCCCAAAGAAATGCCTGCGCATGTTTGACGGAGACTCGGGCGAGATATTGCTGACATCCGAGTGCGAACGCGAACTCCACGACCTGGCGACGGACGACGGGAAGCTACGATTCCGGCTTAGAAACTGCGACGCGCCTGAGACGGAGTGCTCGGTGCGTATCTACAAACAACCAGACGACGGGTCGACGACGATGACGCCGTTTCTTACGCGACATATTGGAATCGAAGCACTGCGGGCAGCGAGGGAGCTGGTATTCCGAGCGAGCGAGGTCCTGTTGCACGTCGGTACGGGTGCGGCCGGCCAGCGCGACGTCCCTCACGACCGTTTCGGCAGGAGATTGGTTCAGGTCTTCACGAGAAACGAGAACGGCAGCCTGGATAACTTGACCGAGAAACTCGCCGCGGCCGGGTACACGCTGTCTTTTTACACGACCGGAATAGACGTCGCCGTGGATGCAGCGATGCGTGCGGCGATTGTCGACAAAGAGGGAATCTTCAGCCTGCCGGAAGAAGTCTTCACCTACCCGAACCTGCCGTGGGACATACGAAAGATGTGGGGACAACACGGCGTGAACGCGTACGAAGAATATCGTCCGATATTGAACCGCCCCGAGGATCCTACGGTATAATATATGAAATAATAATAACGACCATGACAAGTAACAATGACAACTAATAATTTCGACATTATTATTTTACACAGGTATGGGCCTGCAGTGGCGCTGGATCGCGGCAAGTTCTCGCAGACGATGGTGAATCGTGGCCCGAGAGCCAAGATTCGGACAACTTTTTTTTTCGAATCGTATCATGTAGCACGTTTTCGGAAAGCCGATGTTTCGTCGCGAAAAGCGAAATTCCGAACTCGGGTCACGGCCTGTTCCTAGCACGACACAAGTTCCCCATCGAGAGCGGGGCGCATATCTGCCTTTACGCCGAACGAAGCACCACCGAGGAAGAAATGAACAAAAACAGCAGCTCTCGTTCCTACGCGATATTCGTGCACAGAAAAAAACGATGGTTCGACGCGGAGGTGGAAACGGCCAATAATTTGGGACGATTTGCAAATCAGCCGTGGGTGCTCGAAGCATTCAAGCACATACGAACTCTTTCGTCAGCGGAAAGGCCCCCTCTGACGGAAGAGGATTGGGCGAAAACCGAAAGTCGAATAGACGAACAGTGCAACGCTCGCTTCGACACGACCGGGGAACAGTTAGTTCTACGAACGAAACGGCGCTTGGAGCCCTCGAAACGTCCGACGGAGATACTGGTGAACTACGGTGGGCTTCGCTCCTACTGGATCCCGTTGTTAAGACAACGCCGTGATGATGAAGTGCTACCAGAAAGCCTGAGAGAAATCGTTGCGTGGCTTTTCGAGTCCCCAGAATGCAACTGGTCGACCGAGCAAAGAACTAAATGGGCGTTTATGTGAACTGAAAAGAACATGCAACCAATTTGAACATAATAGTTGAACATTTAAGCCGGACATTTCACTGAAAATTTAGGCTATTTATTTATTTTGTTGCTTCTGTATTGAAAATGTACATATGTCAGGAAATAAAGTTTTTTTCTGGCCAAAGCTAGATATTAATAACCCTTTTGTCACTACTTGTATATACAGTGTGTATCAGGAATGAAACATGCGTGCATTATTAATGATAAGCTTAAAGCTTACCCGATTTATTAGAATCCTGACTCTTTCTCCTCTCTAGTTGTCCATCACTGGCTATGGATCAAGTCTGGAAAAAAAAACGCTTGCTATTAATTTCCCAACGACTATCGATTAATAGAAATTCACCTCGGACCAAAAATTTCCCAACCCCATTCAAAGGCAGAATTATATCATACTGCACAGTCCATTCCAAATTGAACTGTTGAAAGGTTTATTAAATCGATATATCTGCTATGTATGTCATGCCCATATCAATCAATCAATCAAATCGTTTAATAAATATACATCTCGCAGTCATTATGACTGAATTAAATGTATAATACATCAATATGAATGGTAAAAATATGTATATTTTAAAAGTTATTAATATATTTACAACTACAAGCATTAAAAATTAGAATTCATAACCTAAACAAGCTATATGACATCACATGCTACAAGATTACATTTACATTTAAGAAGTGTGTCTATTTGAATAATTTGGCATAAAAGAGTTTTTAAAACGATTTGTATAACATTTGATCGTTTGAAATGTTCTCTTTGTCCTTAACTGATTATTAATACCGTCGGTTCTTTCCGGTAATAAATTGGTGAGTTTATGGTCCTTGTTATCCACGATTTCATCAAAAAACTTCGTACATAGAGATTGCCGTCTTTCAAATAAGGTTGGAATATTGGCTTTTTCTAATGCATCAACATATTTGACTCCAGGAAAAATTATACCCATTGCTCTGCAGATGTCATGCAGAAGAACTTCAGGCATTTAATAAGTTATACTGATTATAATTAGATCAAAGAACTGTCTTTCTCTAGACACTTTGATAAAGATTTATCAACAACATAAAATAATTCAATTATAATAAAAATATCCACTTACACAAAAATATTATAATACGATCAATGAATGTCACATATCTGCAGTTTCCTAGCACACGTTTTCATCGTGGAATTCGATTGAATACATTGCATTAAGCACATACTATATATTGTTAATCATAATCATACAAAGATTATCTATATAGCTAGTAGTGTACATTCATGTGATATATTGAGTTGCATATGTCATGCAGAAGAACTTCAGGCATTTAATAAGTTATACTGATTATAATTAGATCAAAGAACTGTCTTTCTCTAGACACTTTGATAAAGATTTATCAACAACATAAAATAATTCAATTATAATAAAAATATCCACTTATACAAAAATATTATAATACGATCAATGAATGTCACATATCTGCAGTTTCCTAGCACACGTTTTCATCGCGGAATTCCATTGAATACATTGCATTAAGCACATACTATATATTGTTAATCATAATCATACAAAGATTATCTATATAGCTAGTAGTGTACATACATGTGATATATTGAGTTGCATATGTCATGCAGAAGAACTTCAGGCATTTAATAAGTTATACTGATTATAATTAGATCAAAGAACTGTCTTTCTCTAGACACTTTGATAAAGATTTATCAACAATAAAATAATTCAATTATAATAAAATATCCACTTATACAAAAATATTATAATACGATCAATGAATGTCACATATCTGCAGTTTCCTAGCACACGTTTTCATCGCGGAATTCGATTGAATACATTGCATTAAGCACATACTATATATTGTTAATCATAATCATACAAAGATTATCGATATAGCTAGTAGTGTACATACATGTGATATATTGAGTTGCATATGTCATGCAGAAGAACTTCAGGCATTTAATAAGTTATACTGATTATAATTAGATCAAAGAACTGTCTTTCTCTAGACACTTTGATAAAGATTTATCAACAATATAAAATAATAATGATAATCATAATAATGGAAGCTGAAAAAATCCCATTCAATTATTAATAAAAATACCCATTTATTCATAATAGGAAGTATCTTAAAAAATAGTATCTTAAACCAGTGATAGCACGCCTGCCGAAGACAAACTTGCCTATTTTAGACTCTTTTGCAAGTACGAGTATTAAAATTAAAAAAAAACTTACGTGACAATTGCTTTGATAGGTTTGTAAGTGCTTTTCAAGTGGTTTATTGTAATTATTGAGAGCAGGGCAAACCTTCGTCCGAGCCATTCTTTGGAGTGAACATGACGAATCGATGATTTTAAACAATACTTCAGCCTTCAAAGTTCATATAAACATCCATATTCGAGATTTAAAGAAGTTATAAAGCATATATTTGCAAAAAATTGTCCATATTTTATATTTTCATCAATGAAACTCGTGTTTTGCGTTAATGCCCGCATGCGCGTATCTAAGCCGCTGTCCGCAATGCATGATATCGGGCTCAGCTATCTGATCTATATCGTAAAGATGGAGTGATAGAATAGAACTTTTCGGTAATACGTCACAACAATTTGACGACACAAAGCTTTAAATTTAGAACCACCTTAAATGGAATGTATTTTAAGTTTTACCCTCACGAGCAAGGTGCAAAACATCCTTTTTCAACGCATGCATGAAAAAGATTTTTAGTTTGACCAATAAATTCTGCAAATAAGCTATAACACGAGAACGAGGCTCAAGGCGTCCCATATAGCAGACGGATGTTTCGCATCTTTCCACATAGATTACTGAAAAGGTTTATTAGGTATCAATTATGCAGGTAGGTATAAAAGTGAATGTAAAATCAGGACAAAAAATATTCCTCATGCAAACTTTGATGGGTAATTTGATAAATGGGGTAAACTCAGTGAGAGAACTCAAATTTGACACAACGTGTAGATTTTGAATACATATATTTATTTAAAATCCCAACAAAATCTGAACAAGTGAATACTGATGATTATAACAGAACAAGATTATTAATTATAACAGAACCCTCTAGTAAATTTTGACTTTTTCATGCTCGATATATTTCTGGATTTTACTTTTTCGACGTACCATGAACAATGTCGAATATATCATCAGAGAGCGTGCGCAATTCGTATGCTTTGCTTGTCGCATTATAAACGATGTCTATAGGAAAAACCAACGCCTTAACCGACTCTTTCCAAGTTCTGCCTGGTTTCAGTCTATACAAATTTGTGGAATCCGGCAAAAGCTCCATGCTAATTAAATGCGCTTGCTGCTTGTTTTGCGTGAATCTCGCGACTTTTGCTATGAAAAAGGAAATGTGATTTTTGGTGGAAACTGGATCAAGCAGTGCTACAATGTCACCGACAGCTGGTAACAATTCGTCCCCGGAATCATTTTGGCAATCGCTTTCGTCAGGCAATGCAATAAAATCCGCTTCACCGAAGATATTTGACGCAATTTTTTCCCTGATAACTTCTCGGCCTTTTTGCGTTTTCTCGTGGTGTGTTAAATCGTTATACGTGCTTTCCTGATATCGGACCGAATGCTTCATTAAAAGCGCAAGACTTTTTCTAACATTTATATCTTTGGAGTCGTCCAAAGTGCTGAAATATGTGATGATAGCATGCCTTAACGCATTCGTGCTCGCTCGAATGGAAACCTCGCGCATGAAAATATCGCCAATGTACCTCGCAATTGAACTGCTGCTATCAAAAGGCGCGCCTCGCTTGTTGAGAAAGAAGAAATCATGCGACTTGCCAAACAGTAAAGATGGCCTTGCCTTAGTATATAATTGCAAATAATACACCAGATCTTCGTCTTCGGAAACATCGATTCTGGTCGGCCCAATACTTTTTGATGTTTTGAAATCAAATTGCACGATTACAACGCCTTTGCCCTCTTGAAATACGATGAAATTACCGCCGTCCACCGAAGTGAAATCGAAAGTTCCGCAGTCCGCTTCGATATGCAATTTCATGGTCCTTAGTTCCTTAGATCTACCAGGAATGGCCCTTAGATAAGTCGCCAGAAGTACGAAATCATGCAAGTGCCTACTTTTGTCCAAGCCATGCGTTTCCAAATACTTATCACGTATGTTACGAAGAGTTTCTAAAACGTGCGCGAAATAAAACTGTTGAGTACTTTTGGTTGTAAAACCCTCCTTATGAAGTTTGGATATCATGCTGCTTTCGTGCTGAAACTGTCGCTGAAATGATTGTAAGGCTGAAATGGTTCACGATGCATTTTCCGAGTCGCTTGAATTTGGCGGAAAGCTCGCCAAATTAAATTTCAAAACGTTAATTCCGATTATAAGATGCGCAACTATAGTTGAGGGTTTAAGATTTCGGGTCCCTTTTAAATATTCTACGTAACTAGTATAGAGTTCGATATTGTTAAATAGATCTAAGGTTAACATGGCAATGTTTTTCACGTTCAAGCAGAAGTACATAAAGCTCATAGCTCTTTCAACCATTTTTTCGACGGTTATTTTTGAATACGGAGGCCCAGGACGATTATAGTTCAATGCTTTTAGGTAGAAATGGCGCAAGTCTTTTACCTCATTCTTCAATCTTTCAGGCGCGCTGTCTAATGGGATGCTATACGTATTTCTTTTAGGCGACGTCGTTTCATCTTTAAATTTCTTTTCTACAGGCGGTTCTTGTGCATCGCTGTCTGACTCGCCGCTGAGATTGTAAGACACAATTGGATTGTCTGTGGTCGCGAGGCTCGGACTTTTGACATCAGCAGCGTCGAGGATTGTGGCAGAACTACTGTGAGAATGTCTGACAATTGGATTGTCTGTGGTCGCGAGGCTCGGACTGGGGACATCACCAGCGTCGAGGATTGTGGCAGAACTACTGTGAGAATGTCTGGCTCGCTTCCTCGCACCTTCACTGCGATATGCAATCAAACGGGTCACGTCTTCATCTCGAATAAGGCTAAACGTAGCACCCAAAGAAGCATTCCGTCGACGAAAGTGAATTCTCTCTTCCAAAGTGGCACAGGGTGTTGTCGAGATGTTTAGGGACTTTAGCCCGTTTCTAACGGTGCTTTTTGGAGTGTCTGTGAAGATCTTTTCGCACACGTCTATGAAGCAGTGATAAGTCTGATTGTCTCGTTTGATGTGAGCTAAAGATTCCATTTTTGTAAAATCCAGACTAAAAATAAATAAATTTTCATTAATAACACTGACATATTCTTTAACCCTAACCCTAACCCTAATTCTGGAATAATTATATAATAAGTAGAATATTCTGCTTGACCGCGGTGGGAATAGAACCCGCGACCGCATTTCTAGAACGATGCTCTACCGTCTGAGCTACAAGGCCAAGTTGGGAACGACTGTGATTTTTACTTAAGTTGTTATTGACAATGCGGAGTTTCGTCCTTTAAATGTCATAGTGCAGTTAATTATATATATATATGTATATATATATATATATATATATATATATATATATATATATATATATATATATATATATATATATATATATATATATATATATATATATATATATATATATTTATTTCACATGTGGTATATATTAAAAACTTACTTAAAATAAAAATTTATTTAAAATAAAAATTTATTTAAAAAAATAAAATCCTAATTATAACCGATTACGCAAGGAAAATGAGAGGTTCAGGATCTAAGTTAACGGTTATAACCATTATATTACAGAGATGTTTCAAATTTCATCTTTTCCAGAAACGTATTGGTTAAAACTACGTACGCGTCATGTGAAAGGCTGGGGGATCCGATTGTTTACCGCAAAATTTTGTTTGTCATGCAGGTAATTTGAACCAGTTTGAGCGGGGGGTAATGTACAAACCACCGAGGATTAATAAAAGCGGAAGTTTTGGTGCAGCGTCACACCACGCGACATACTACTTTTTAACTCAGCCGAATTCCTTTTTTTTTTATTTTCTAAGAATTAAAAGTTTCTCCATTAGTTTTTCTTACGTTTTTCTTGCGTTTTTCCATCCGTAGCTAATTGTTTCCTTTGTTTGTCGTTTCCATGAAAAACAAAGGAAACAATTAGCTACTTTCCGTTTCCATTTCGTTTTATAATAAAATACTTACAGTCAGGGGCCTAGGGCCGTGCTACCTAATTTTCCAAATTTAACAAAATTTTTCTCCCTTGGACGCCAACCATGATGGATCCTCGTGAGATTTGGCCGCCCTAACATTAAAAACGTTCCTATACGCCCTTCAGCCCTTGTTTACAGTATTGACTAATCTCCTCGCGAAACATCATGTTTTGTGGACCCTCGACCACCATGGGTTTTCCTCCAGATCAGTCAATAAGTCTTAAATAATCATCTCTTCATTGACCGCAACTGGCATAATGATAGCTATTGAGACGACTTTGGAAACACTCATGGGAAACATTAGAAACAGTCATGGGAGCAGCTTTTTTCGAGATCGAAATTTTCTCAAAACATTGCAGTGTTTAGCCTGCCCGCAGACCCCATCCTAAAAGGCAGGCAGTGCTGGGAAAAAATTCACTCATTCAACCCAGGCGAGAAACAAAACATATAATATATTCCTTTCCTCGATTTTACCGCACGAAGAAGAATTAAAACCAAAACAATTATACCTATACTGATGATTCACCCTTCAAATCCAGTAATCAAATGCAACGATTTCTCGAGTTCTTCGAAAACCTTTCAGAAGAACGTTGCCTTTTTTAATCGTCTTTTAAATCCATTAGAAAAGAATTGCATGAATTTATCGGTAGAAAGCTATTGGCTACTTATACAGAATTACTTATTTACTTCATGCATAATTTATTGACACAAAAGCTAAAGTGATAATTATTTCAACTGAATCATATGCTGCATTCTAACACTGATCTAAAACTAAACTGGATCACGCATCAAATGTGCAAAAATAAAGAAAATTCAGGAAATAATAACTGATTATTGACCGAGCGTGCAGTCTGTTCTTTGAAATATCATTCGGTCTGATATTTCACAGTACAGACCGAACAAGCGAGGTCAATAATTTGTTTCTTATATGGCTGAAATCCATGAGACATCCGGAATACTGGTCCAGATACAGAATATACGGACCACGGCCCGGTATGGGTTTTTACGGATCGCTCATCGAAAAATCAGAATAGGGGATTTCGAAAAGTTATATAATAGTTGCTATTAATGTGACATTTCAATGTTGTATTGACGAGTTTACAAAATATATGTATCAACCGTAATTTATATTTAGATTTTTCGTAGTGGTTGCGGGATTAAACGAACAAAAAATCATTTTGACTTAAAAAGAGCGAAAGTGACCTAAAATTGTTCACTGAAAACAATTATTCTTAATCATATAGAGGTCGGTTTTTGCGGAGAATGCCAGAATGGTGGTATGTTGTTGAGATTCATAATTGTCACGCGGAGTTCTCAGTTCTATGCCAAGCCTCTCGCTGGGCTATTGTAAGATAATTTACTCAAAATTGTTCGACATGCTGTTGGCAAGTTCTGTAGCGTATACATATTATAGCTAATTTTGTG